AGCATATGTTTAAAAAAATAACATTCAAACATAAAAAATTTCTAATATTATGAAAAGACCTCATTATCAGAATAGATTAACTAACTTATAAGGGTAGTCAGTTAATTCCCCCCGGTCATTGTAATAAAGGTACGGAATATTATAATAACGAAAAAGAACACCTAATGCTAATACTTCATTCACACTCCAGTCCCGCGCATTAATTTCAATATCAGTTTCGTGACCGTGCAACTTTTTTGATGCAGTGTGATAGAGACCACCCATACATTTTTCGACATCCTTGTATTGAAAATTATTAAGTGAGCATGTTTGCTGTAAAATTGATACAAACTTTGTATCTTTAGTCAGCCCCATCAAAATATTGTCTGTAGGTTCGCGAAACGAGATAGTCTTGTCCTGTGACCGAATCTATCGAGAGAAAAAATATGTAAACAAAAATCATTGCAAAATACATAAACAAATATGCAGAATGTTACCGTTGATCCGATGAACTCCAAAGCACCTCTCACGTTACACATCCTTCTTGATCGTAAAAGAGATTCAGTGCGCGTTTTGACATCAATCTCAAGATCCTTCATATGCTTCGTCATCTCCTTCGTTTCTTGTCGTCTTTCCTCCAACAAAGCCATTATTTCACGTTGCTTTGCCTCCTCAAAATCCATCACCATAGCCACAATCAAATTCGCGATTTTCGGTATAGCTTTTGAATCTTCAGGTAATTCGGCAATAATTGATAAAAGGTCATTCTCGCATTTGCTAATAAGAGAGGATGATAATCTACGTTGTGGCCACAAGGGACGGTAGAACTGCATCCAATAAACAACGTTTTAAACGTTTGTTCGAATGAAATAGAAAATGTATAAGATGTCTCATTTACTTACCAGAGGCCTTAGCAATCTTAAGCGTAAAACCATTTTAATAAATTTGCGAAATATATTTTATTGAGCGAAGGACTATTTCTGCACTATGAAAAAAATGTTTATCACATGAATTTCTCTGTCCGGCACATGATCTCGAAATACCCAAGATCACAAGATTAAATGCTGCCAGTTAGCAACTTTTGCAATTTTGTGTCGCATGTTGCAACTTTTGCGTAGCACGCACGCCAACTCCCGTTTCCTTAATGGATTGGAAACTTTTTTATTATTGAGCACTAACGGATCGCAACCTTGTATTCCTACTATCAACGTTTGCCATGCATCGATGCTAATGCATATTCTCATTATATACAAACAATTATTAATGGTAGTCTTTCGAAACAATTACTTGTAGTCTTTAATCTTTTTACCTAAGTTCGAATTACGACTAATTGCCTACACAAAGGCTACTACTGTTATAACACAAGTACGAATTGCTTTAGTCATGTTTACAAAATGCTAAAAACAGTTATCGAATGTTTAATATTACAGCTGCTAATGAATGACACGATAAATAAATCGTCATCAATCGCAAGACAAAGTTATAAGATATAATCGTATGTTCGCCAATCGTATGATAAAATCGTATGTTCATCAACCGCAAGATACTACCATTAATAATTGTTTGTATATAATGAGAATATGCATTAGCATCGATGCATGGCAAACGTTGGCCAGTAGGAATACAAGGTTTCGATCCCGTTAGCGCTCAACAATAAAAAAAAGTTCCAATCCATTGAGGAAACGGGGGTTTGTTGGTGTGCAAAATGCCAAGCTTAGGAGTATTTTATTTATACGAATGTAATAATCTTTAAGTAATTTCTTTATTAGAACAGGAAACCTTTATCAGGAAACACACCAAAATACTTTTGCCGAATAAGTAAACCTGCGTGCTACGCAAAAGTTGCTTGCTAACTGGCTGAAAACGCTGCTGACGACAGCATTTGATCTTGTGATCGTAACAAAATCTTGGAGTTACTGGGGTAGTTAATCAGGCCACCTACAGAAGAAGAACTCATTGGAGAAATTCTTCTGGCTGAAGGTGTCTTACAACAGACACAAGCAGATGTGGAAGAAAATTTATATTTAAGCGAAGGGGAAGAAGAAAGTATATCCATAAAGGAAGAGAAGCACTTGCAACCGCCAAGAAATTTTTAGAACAAAGAGACTTTGCGACAGAAAATGATATTAGATACATGCGCAATATAATTCGGCGCTTTGACGAATCAGTAGAAAGGTCGAAACGTCAAATGTCACTGATAGAATTTATTAACCAATAAAATTGCATGATATTATCTATTGAAACGCTATACTAATACCTTAGTTATATCCCACCTCAGATATATTCCCAAAAAATTTGGGTCCCAACATGGGGATATAACTGAGGTAGAACTGTACAAGTTCCTGATTGGTTACTTGTAATCATGTGAATTTTCGCTCTGGAATGTGAATTTAAATTCTCACTTCAATATTCAAGTGATCATAACCTAAACTAAGTGACGTGAATTTTGCAAATGATGTATGATTTTTGTTTGCCACATCATTTGAGTCATTGAAATCCACGGCCCAAAGAAGCATGAACTCTAGTATTCTATATGTCATTTAAGTGATTTGAGGAATGCGAAATGTATGTCACTCGAGTCACGAATATTGTGTTTTTTACGTCATTTAAGGAGGCACAAACAGTGTGATAATTCAGCTTGGGCTTGGTTGGTTCTTTTTTAGCACAGAAATATGTGTCGATGCAGCGCCATGGCTTGATAACCAGTTGGAGATCTCGCCCTATTACATTTATTTATCACGTTTAAATTTAGAATTGTAGCAAATGAGCAAATTCTAGGCATATGTTTTAATAACATTCAAACATAAAAGATTTTCTAATATTATGAAAGATCTCATTATCGGAATTATGCTAAGCATATATTAGCTAACTTGTAAGGGTAGTCAGCTAAATTCCCCCGGTCATTGTAATAAAAGTAGTAAATATTATAATAACGCAAAAGAGCACCTAATGCTAATACTTCATTCACACTCCAACATCCCTGTCGGGACCGTACAAATTTTTTAATGCAGTGTGATAGATACTACCCATACTAATACAGGTCTCGACATCCTTGTATTGAAAATCATTAAGTGAGCATGTTCGCTTTTAAATATGATATAAACTTTGCATCTTGGGTCAGCCTCATCAAAACATTGTTTGTAGGTTCATAGTCTCGTCCTGTGACCGAATCTATCAAGAGAAAAATTATGTAAACAAAATATAATAAAAATTATTGCAAATACATAAACAAATATGCAGAATGTTACCGTTGATCCGATGAACTCCAAAGCACCTCTCACGTTACACATCTCTTTGATCGTAAAAGAGATTCGGTGCGCGTTTTTACATCAATTCTCAAGATCCTTCATATGGTTCCTTAAATCCGATTTTTCCTGTATTACGTTGATCATTTCTCTCGTTCTTTTTTTTCAATTACGTTGATCGTTTCACGCATGAAATCCTTTATTTTTTGTCGTCTTTCCTCCTCCAAAGCCGTTATTTCACGTTGCTTTGCCTCCTCCAAAGCCTTTATTTCAGCCTTCAGTTCCTGTCGTCTTGCCTCCTCCAAATCCAACTCCATATTCACAATCAAATTCACGATTTTCGATATAGCTTTTGAATCTTTAGGTAATTCGGCAAGGATTGGTGAAATGTCATACACGTACTCGCGTTTGCTAATAAGAGAGGATGATAATCTACGTTGTGGCCACAAGGGACGGTAGAACTGCATCCAATAAACAACGTTTTAAACTGTTTGTTCGAATGAAATAGACAATGTATAAGATGTCTCATTTACTTACCAGAGACCTTAGCAATCTTAAGCGTAAAACTATTTTAAAAATTTTGCGAGATATTCTTTATTGTCTGGGGCAAAGTAGCGAAGTCACTATGAAAAAAAAAATTTTTAGGCACATGATCTCGACCAATGATTGTGACTGATGATGATGACGTTATATATACTAATATTAAAATTGGCTGATACAAGTTCCTGATTGGTTATTTGTAAATTATGTGAATTTCGCTCTGGAAACTAAGTGATGTGAATTTTACATTCTCCACATCATTTGAGTGACTCGAGAATGTAAAATCCACGTCACTTCAAGTGATCATAACCTAAACTAAGTAACGCAAATGATGTATGATTTTTGTTTGCCACATCATTTGAGTCATTGAAATCCACGGCCCAAAAAAGCATGAAGAACTCTAGTATTCTATATGTCATTTAAGTGATTTGAGGAATGCGAAATGCATGTCACTCAAGTCACGAATATTGTGTTTTTTACGTCATTTATGGAGGCACAGATAGTGTGATAATTCAGCTTGGGCTTGGTTTAGTTCTCTTTCAGCACAAGAATACGTGTCGATGCAGTGTCATGGCTTGATAACCAGTTGGCTCTTACATTTATTTATCACGTTTAAGTTTAGAATTATAGCTGTGAACAGCCGATTTTGTTGTTTGCTACGGAATTACTTAATTGGTCAAAATTCCACCCCGAGTATTTTGGATCGGGTGACCAGTTGGTATTTTGTGACTCATATACGAACACCAACTTGGTCACTTGATCATAAATAGTGACAATTCGCGAGTAGACGTCTGAGAGGGAAATGGAATACAGA